ATTGAAGGAAGTACTTCAACTCTAGCATTTAAGCCTCTAAATTTACCACAACCAGTTAAGTGCTTCTGCTGTTTGCCTGGAGAGTTTTCAATGCAAGTGTCAGGACAAAAGGACAAAGCTACTTTACTTAAAATTCAGGACCCATAAAATCCAACCCTTTATGTGGAGTTTGCACAGAACTTATGAGAGAAAGCTGGAAGATAAAATTATCTCATGTGGAAGCAACTTACTTGGTTCAGGTATCAATCAATTAGAATAGGAAATTTAAAAGTTAAAAACCCTCAGGGTGTGCAAGATCACGAAACTCCTATGCTAAATAGCAGCCTAAAAGGCACAGTCAAGAGAAAGATGATAGACCTCATTAGACATCTACAATTGCTTGGCACAAAACTCATTTCCCAAGCTTCCAGTTAACATAAAGGAACATATATTTAGAATGACAACAGATTAGAAGTTGGGAAGAGGAAATGACCCAAGTTCCTGATAGTACCTAAAATAGAACATACATACATTTTTCCAGTGAGAATAAAAGTACCTGCAAAAAGTACATATATTTCATTTCCTCACTGCATAGTCCATCATCTGCCCAAAAGAATTGCAAACATTCAACATACAAAAAAAGGCATCTTTGATAACTTTACATTTAAGCAAATAACTAATCCACTGAAATCAAAGATGAAACTGCGAACTAAATCTCTCAGAGATCACTATAACTTACTTTTAAAAAGGTGTGTTTTTAAGGCTTCATATTTTAATTTCATGGAATAGCAACCAAATGCAAATGGCTTAAAGCAGTCATTTGAGAGAAAGTGTTAACAGTCTAACAAATTTGGTAATGTCAAGGTCAGAGGCAAGAAGAAAAGCTCCGGTAAGACTCCTGAATCAAAGTACTTTGACCAAACTCAGGCAAGATTATTTCTTAAACTCTCTCATAATCCACTTATTCCACACGTATTCACAGCACACTCTGATCCTGGTACTGGAGATGCAATGGAGAACAAGCAGACCTGCTCCTGCTCTCCTGGCGCTCTCAGCCATCCATGGAGGACTTCCAACATGCAAGGTCTCTCTTCACTTCTGTAAACACTTCCTGACATATGCAAACACGCAGGGCACCATTCCCAGCGCTCACACCTCCGGCCACACTCCCTCTTCCCCTTTGTCATGAACTCCAGCCACGCTGGAATCCCTCTGTTCCTTAGGCATGGGAGGACAAAGGCTAGGATGAATGGGATGAAAGCACCATTTCAGGGCCTTTGCACATGCTGTTCCCTATGCTGGAGACACTCTTCCTCCACATCTTCAAAAACACTGGCTTCTTCTCATCATTCAGTTCTCAGCTCAAACTTCTCCTCCCCCAGAGAGGCTTCCCAAGCCACTCAATGTAACAGCAGTCCCTGCCCTGATCCTCTCTACCACAGCAACCCTACGTGATTACTTTTCCAGTGTCTGCCCTTATCTTGTTTGTTTGCATCTCTGCTTTTTGTCCACCTCCTCCACTAAAATGTGAACTCATTAATTATAGTGGTGTCTGCTTGTCCTGTGCAGTGCTATACTCTCAGTCCCTAGAAAAATTGCCTGGCATACAGCAGATGCTCAATAAATACTTATTGAAGAAGAACACATACAGACAATATTAGCAATTTTGTACCACAAGGACAGGCATAAAATCACAAAGGAAAAAGAGGACAATTCAAATGCTAAAAGATTTGCTTGATCAGTTTTTTTAAATGAGTTTTTCTTTTTAAAAGGAACCATCACAACTTACTCTAGTGTAAAATAATCTTCAAAAATAAGCATAATGGAAATACTAAAGCACAATATTGGCTAATGCTCAACGTTTATAATGTATTAGCCTCAATTTCTAGCATTAGCATTACTTCTACAATTTATTCTGTTTTTAAAGCACTCTAACAAGAGACCCCAACTTTAATTTTAAAAAAAAGCAAAAGCCAAATGCTTTTTACAAAGCATCCTCCCCTTAAGAGTTATCAACAACCTTCTCCTAAATTCCAAAAACTGTAACCATATTATAGCAACATTAAAGTCTGAGATGCTGGTGATAATCTCCAGAAGGCAAGAATTTTAGTGGCTAATGGTATACAAGTTTTTTAAAACACAAACTGTCCTCATCGCTGATTTAATCAAAGGTACCAAGTCTCCTCTCCCTGTCCAAAAATATTTAAACTCTTAAGAATTTTTCTTACAGATTATTCTTAAAAATTTATATCTGCTCCTTTACTTCCTTGTTGAAACAAAGAGCTAAGTTATTAATCAAAGAATATAACTTTAGTCACTGACCTTCATGGCTCACTCTTCACAGCAAAAACACCAAAGGTCCTTATGGATCGCCCTGAAGTTATGTAAAAGCAAAAGATGCCCACTGCAGAGCAGGGGTATTTATTTCCTGGAATGTGACCTTAAAGAAGCGAGTTGCTACCGCCTTTGGGCCTCTGGGAATAATGCAAACCCACTTAAAAACATCAAAGACAAATGTTTTAATTTCATAGCAAAATATTAGAAATAACCTATATACGTATATATCTCAATAGAGAAGAAACTAAATATAGTCCATCCTTAATGGGGTACTCAGCAGCTGTTAGAGAATAAGATAGCTCTCATATGCTGAAAGACTGCCATGATTTAGTATTCTGTAGGGGAAAGGCAGGATGCAGAATAGAGGATATACAAACGTGTTCTCATTTGTGGAAAAACAAATAAAAAGAACACATACGAAATGTCTATGTGAGCATAGGCTGGATCAGGGAGGATATATACAAGGAGCTAGTAACCCTGGTACCTGGGCAGGGAAACTGGGTGCTGTGGGACATAGCAGGGAGGTATACTTTCCACTCTGCACCTTCTTGTATTTTTTAACTCTTCTACAGCGTGCATGGATTTCCTAGCCTACAAATTAATACAATAATTTTTTATATAAGAATGCCTTACACTATTACCAACATATTACTGAAGGATCATTAAGAAGCAAAAGTTTTCAAAACCACAAACATTTTGTTCTCTTCATCAGCTCAGTTCCTGATTCTCAGTTCCCAGAAGAGAATCCAAGTCTCCACTAATTAGAGAGGCGCACTTGTGATCTCACCTATTACAAAGCACATAATCCTCGATTCAATTCTTGGAAGGGAAATACCTGCTCCACTCACCTTGAAAACATACCTCATATTAAAATTGAGCTTGTAACTACCTAATGAAGCTTCCAAATCAACAGTTTCTACCTAGCTATCAAACAGAAAGTCAAAGTTAGAGACAGAGAGGATAGTCTCAAGGTTTTTAAAAAACACACACTGTACTTAGGTTTCCTTTCCTGTGCCTGCTGTAGACAATGAACTCTCTTTATTAGTGAAACAAGATTCCAGACTTGTGGCAATAAAATCATTTAAGTGGAGGGGCAAGCATGATTTACACTGAATAAACGCACAAATTTTTCATTTGTGTGCACGGGGAGGGGATGCTTTAGATTTAAATTAGACACCTTTTTTGGACCCCTGACTAAATAATACAACTAAGTCACATTAATTTTATTCCAAGCTATTTTTTTCTTTAAATCAAAGACAAGCCTAGGACCGAACACAAACAAATCCTAAAGCAAGCTTTAACTGAAACCTTTCCTTTGAAGAATTATCTAAAACCACATAAAAAGAAATGCAAAAACTTCATTTCCAGACAAAGGCCATTTAATAACAGTACACACGTTATACCAATATTTGACTGCATTAAACACACCCATACAAAAAGCAACTCAACTGCAAAGAAAAGTGCTCATATTTTTTGATAACCGAAGATAGGGAACAGAACTACACTGCTTAAGCCGAAACTTAAGTTCGCGATACCTGATGTGTAGAGTTTTCTGTGGGTCAGAATGACTCCAGCTTTGTGTTTTTAGATAACACAGCCTAAGTGACAACCTTCCATGAAGCCTAACTTTAACTGCCAACACTTCGAGTTTGTTTAAGCAGCACTGTGCCTTCGGATACAAGCACATAAAAATACAGGTAAATCAAGTGTACTGTAAATACAGAATGAGTAAGGAACCCGTTTAATGAAGAACTGAGGTACAGGAGCACGAACTCACTTGGCTAGTCACATCTCCAAAGGAAAAAATATCTTAACGCTCCTTGCCATACCCCAGGTATCTCTGGCCTCAGAACTTACTATCCTACGTGGGTCAGAAGTTCGCGGCGGGGGAGTCGGCGTCCCCCAAGACCGGAGGGTGCCCAGGGGCGCGCGGAGGCGGCGCGACCCGGAGCAGCGCTTCCTGCGGTCACTCACCTCGGACGTCCCCCGGGCCCGGGGACCAGGGCCGGCCGGAGCGTGGCTCCCCACCCCGCCCCCGCCTGCGCTCTCG